GAGTTCACTGAAACCTTCTGTTTTACAGCGCATAGTTCGCTGTAACTTGTCTTTTAGGCTCTGTAGTACAGGCCTTCGTTTGCTTCCTTCAGCACCTTAGTAAGCTCTGCTGTCGTACCTCACAGCGCTCCTCCGGAGCACTGTACTCGCATTTCTTCCTCTGACCGGAGCGCTGTACTACAGGCTCCCAAAGGCTCTCAGGTGCTGTAATACAGGCCTGTAGAGTGCTACAAAGCAACAACTTTTAACCTTATACTGTTATGACCTCAGCCTGTTGACGAGCGGTCGGCAGGTTCGTGTTACGACCTCAGCCTGTTGACGATCGGTCGGCAGGTGTCACGCATTACCACTGCACTAAAAAGCAGGGAACGTTCAATTGCTCTGACAAGTGGTAATCGCTGTTTATCTGACACACCCCCTTAGCTCTAGAGCCATTTGAGGGTTTAGGGCTGGAGAACTTTTTGTCTCCTGGAGGTAACTAAACTCCATGTGCCCGCACCTCGACTCGAACTTATAAGGTCTTGGCGCTTACGTCAGCTTACTCTATAGATGCACTGAGACTCTTAATTGTCACGTATTACCACTGCACTAAAAAGCAGGGAACGTTTAATTGCTCTGATAAGTGGTAATCGCTGTTTATCTGACAGCAGGGTTGCTAGATAGGGTGGTGGGGCAGAGAGGAGTAGAACAGAGGCAAGTCCTTACAGACAGGGGTTCACTGGTCAATGGCAGTCGTATGTCACTATAGTACAGGGCAACACTCCAAGTGTTAGTGTAGTAAGATATAATTAAAGTTGGTTTAATTGATAAGTGAATACTTATGTGAGGAATAAAAGGTTCCTCACACCATTATAGGTATAATGATAGCTATCTATACTAACTAATGATGATGTAATTTATACTTTAATCTGTTACTCTGTCTGTTAGTGTTTACAGATCACAGAGTAAGTGCTTTATAAGTCTGTGCCTGCTTTATAACAGAGCAGTTTCTTGGTATAAAGCACACAGTGTTAGGTGGTTACCGCACGGTGCTCTGTACTGTGGTGTTTACAGGGACCCATTGGTCTGTCCCGGCCACAAGGGTGGCCCACAGGTTGTTACACAATCCCCCCTTTTTAACTTCTTTTTCCATAAAGAAAATTACAACTGTGAGTTTTCCTTTAACAACCTTACCATACCTTGTTACCGTATTGATAAGTGTAGGCCCTTTTTTACCGACTGTTGTGTTAGAAACACAGCACTGTGGAATGGGTGGAAACCATAGGTAGCAATTCCTTGATTGTATTGCTTGTGGAGGTTCTGGCTTTCAGCCAGAACCTCCTTCTTTATAACATCCATGATAAGCAAGCGCCACAGATAAGCGAGCGCCGCACTTTTTGACACGCCCTGACCTCCTACCTTCAACATTCCATTTCTTAACCAAAAACCATGTTTTCAACCTCCAACAAAGCCAGAGTAATTCTAGCTACTAAAGCCATCAAAAACAACAAAAAGCTAAGTAAACGAGGTGTAGCGAAGATCTACAAGGTTAATAACAAAACGGTTTGCCGCCGACTTGCCAGTATACCTGCATGACGTGATATTCCGGCCAACTCACGTAAGCTTACGGATTTAAAAGAAAATACGATTATTTAGTATATAATCAAGCTATATGCACGTGTATTCCATCCTCGGCTTTATTACGTGGAAGATATTGTCACATATTACCACTGCACTAAAAAGCAGGGAACGTTCAATTGCTCTGACAAGTGGTAATCGCTGTTTATCTGACAGATATGGCTAACCAACTGTTACGTGAACGCAACACACCCCCTGTCGGCAAACGCTAGGCTTATAACTTTATCAAACGCCAGCCAGAGCTTTAGACGCGTTTTACACGTAAATATAACTATTAAAGGGCTAAATGCAAAGATCTAAAGGTTATTAGTAAGTGGTTTACATTTGTGTATAATATAAAGGCTAAATACGGTATCCTTGATAAAGATACGTATAATTTCGACAAGACCGGCTTTATAATGGGTATTATCACACCTTTTATAGTAGTAACTACCTTAGATAGCTGTGGTAAAGCTAAGTAAAGCCAGCCTGGCAATCAAAAGTAGGCTACAATTATCCAGGGGGTAAATACTTAAGGCTGGGCCATCCCACCATTTATCATCTTAACTAGCTAATATCACTTGGCCAGTTAGTATAAAGAATGTAACCTTTTAACCACCTGGCGTATTGTAATAACTGATAATAGTTAGATTACAAATAAGAGAGGTATAGATTGGATTTAGCACTTCGATTTTCACACAGCGTCTCATATAAAGGGTAAATATCGGCTTTTAATCCTTAACGGCCACGATAACCACCACTCCGAAGAATTCGAGGCTTAATACCAGGTACATAACATTATTACACTGTGTATACCTTTACACTCCTTACACCTACTTCAGCCATTAGATGTTAGTTATTTTAGGCCGCTGAAGAAGGCGTACAGTCATAAAATTAAGCAGTTAATACGGATAAACATCACATATATCAGTAAGTTGGAATTTCTCTATACGTTTAAAAAGGCCTTTTTTACTTTAATTACAGAAAAAAACATACAGGGGGGTTTTACCGGTGCCGGCCTTATACTATATAACTTAAAAAGGGTAATATCTCAGTTAGATGTATATATTTAAACCCTAACACCCTTAACCTCAGGTTTAACCACATTATTACCTTAGGTCTTTTAAACACCTGTGACGATCTGCGGGCCACCCTTGTAGGTCGGAACGGACCGACGTGTCCCCGCAGGTGCCACAGTGTACAGACAGTGCAAACTAAAGCGCGCACACGGATTGATCACCCTGATCACTGAGAGGAAGGAGTGATCACAATAAACGCCAAGAATATTGATCACCTTGCTCACTGAACAAGCCCAGTGATCAGAGTGATCAAGGTACAAGTTACATCACCATTAGTTAGTATAGATAGCTATCATCGTACCCACGATGGTGTGAGGAACCTTCTGTTCCTCACGCAAGTATTTGCTCGTCAATTGAACCCCTTTTGATTATGTCCTACTGCACCAACACTTGGAGTGTTGCTCTGTCTTATAGTGACATACGACCATCATTGACCAGTGAACCCCCGTCTGTAAGGACTTGCCTCTGCACTACTCCTCTCCACCCATCCTATCTAGCGACCCTGCCGACCGTCTGTCGACAGGCCAGAGGTCGTAACAACGCCACATAACCCTTGAGATGCCACCTTATAATTAGTGTTTATTAAAAATCGAATTTCCAACCATTAGGATAGCTCTTTAACCTTTATGTTAATAGCTGTGGATCGATTAGCTAAAGGTATAATAGCTGTGATATATAAGGTGGCTCTTCTCCGTACAGAGGTCTCTGCACTACGAAAGGCCAATAAGGGGCTTAGTAAGCGACAGAGGGCTAAAAAAACACGTGTACAGCTTAGAGGGTCACTTACTGTACAGGAGGCACAGGATTTACTGGATTAAAAGGCTGTGGGGGAGCAGTTAGCTCAGGAAACACGCCAAAGTGGTGGTGGCGTAAGGGGGTCTCGTACAAAGATTCAGTGTTATGGCGTGTGCGGCAAGGCTGGCCATAATGCGCGCACTTGCAAGGAGGATGCAGAATCGTCTGATTCATCTGTTTCTGATTCAGTTATTGTTATTTCCTAGTGTTGTAGTTGTGTAATTGAGGATTGTTGTGGTAGGGTGATGGAAAGTGCGGCGCTTGCTTGTCTGCGGCGCTCGCTTATCATGGACGTTAGACCACTTCGTAGGATTCAGCTTCGTCAACACCATGGCTGAGGCTGACTGGCGTTCAGGCGGTGCCAGGCATCCAGTCAGCTTCGCTGAGCGGAAGCCCAGGGCCCCCTGAACCCCTTTCTTTCTGACACGTTGTAAGGACCTTGTAGCCCGTATTTCCGTGTTTGGCCGAGAGATGTCTCCCTGTACTCGGTGTAAATAATCCCAGCGTAAGTACTTTACGTTAACCGATTCCAACTCTTACTCTGCCTGCCGATTTACAAACGTTTATTATAACACGTTTAAAAACAGCGCGGACCTTTAGCAGAAATTAATTTCTTAGAAGGAGAAGTTAGACAGGGCCCAGAGTAAGGCGTCGGAAGAGATAACCGCCGCTTAGAAGTCTTTTACCACTGCTCTTTTTAAGGCGTAGCGGCTTAAGCGATAACTGAAGGTGATTAATAATAAGGCTTATACTGTATTTGGTAAGGACCTGGAGGTGATCTAGTCCTTAAAGGCTAAGGAGGCGCGGACCGGTTTCTCTCTAAAGGCGATAGTTAAGTTGTTTAACTAAGGTGCCTTTTTAAATGGCGATACAGTTACAGGTTTACTGTAACCAGTAACTACCTCTTCTTAAGGCAGGCTGTTACCTTTAGTTATAGTACTTGTGCTGATAGTTGTTTTTAGATCCATTTTAGGGGTGGTAGTGTTACGACCTTGTGCCTGTCGACGTGCGGTTGGCAGGGTTGATAAGATAGGGGCGGGGGAGAGAAGAGTAGAACAGAGGTAAGTCCTTACAGACGGGGAGTTTACTAGTCAATAGGGGTTATATATCACTATAAGTCAGAGCAACACTCCAAGTATTGATGCAGTAGGACATAATTAAAGTTGGTTCAATTGACAAGCAAATACTTATATAAGGAACAGAAGGTTCCCCACGCTATCGTGGGTACGATAATAGCTATCTATATTAACTAATGATGAAGTAACTTATACCTTTAATCAACCTGCTTATTATGCTTCCTGATAAGCAGAGTGATCATAGCCCTGTCACTTATTATGATCACTTGTTTTAGCGTTGAGTGGAGTGATCACACAGTGCGGCGGACCGCTTCTTACTGCATTCCATACGGTGGCGCCTGCGGGGACACGTCAGTCCGTTCCGGCCTACAAGGGTGGCCCGCAGGTCGTCACAGGTAGGCCAGCTACTAGGGTTAAAGGTTATAGTAATGAAGGTAAGTTCCAATAATGAAATGGTCCGTTAACGCAGTGGTTAGTGCGCTCGCTTTTAATAGCTTTTGTAACCGGTTAAACTAGTTATAGAGGCCTATCCTTAGGCTGGTTTATCTTGTCGAGAGGTCGTGGGTTCAAATCCCACACGGGCCGCTTAAGCCTCCCTCTTTCTCCCTAGGGGAATAAGAGAGAGATTTGTTTTTATATAACTAACAGTGCTATTATAATACCCTTTGCGCCGTGGTCCTCTGGGGTGAGCGCCTTTTTACTGGTTATAGTCGATCTGGATTTTCGCAGTGGAATTTCTTAATCAGTTTTAAACAGAGAAGATTATTAACTAGCTGTTACAACCTCGTGCCTGTCAACGTACAGTCGGCAGGGTTATTAGGTAGACGGAGTGGGGCAGAGAGGAGTAGCATAGAGGCAAGTCCTTACAGACGGGGTTCACTGGTCAACAGCAGTCATATATCACTATAAGCCAGAGTAACACTCTAAGTGTTAATACAGTAGGATATAATTGAAGTTGGTTTAATTAATAAGCGAATATTTATATAAGGAATAGAAGGTTCCTCCCACCATTATAGGTACAATGATACTATCTATACTAGCTAATAAGGAAGTAATTTGTACCTTTGATTAACCTGCTTATCGTGATTCCTGATAAGCAGAGTGATCACAGCCCTGCCGCTCATTATGATCACTTGTCTTAGCGTTAAGCGGAGTGATAACATAGTGCAGTGGATCGCTTCTTACTGTATTCCATACGGTGGCGCCTGCGGGGACACGTTGGTCCGTTCCGGCCTACAAGGGTGGCCCGCAGGTCGTCACACTAGCTCCTAAGAGTTTAACTCGGGGCTGTAATCTAACTATTTAATAAGATAATAAAGTTTACCTTTACGATATTACAAATCCAGAATTTCTTCGATATTAAAGTTTTCTTTATCGGTGTGTACTTTAATCTTCCTTTTAAGTGGGACGTTCTTTAGTGCTGGTTTAAGAAAGGAAACGTGGAAAACCTTAGTCCGCACCTTTATAGAGGTGGGTAGGTTAAGTTTGTAGTTGGAGGTGGCGATCTTCCTTTTGACGAGGAACGGTCTGAGTTTCTTAAAATCGAGTTTACGGTTTAGTTGTTTAGTGTTGTTGCTTTGTAGCACTCTACAGGCCTGTATTACAGCGCCTAAGAGCCTGTGGGAGCCTGTAGTACAGTGCTCCGGTCAGGGGAAGAAATGCGAGTACAGTGCTCCAGAGGAGCGCTATAAGGTACAACAGCAGAGCTTACTAAGGTGCTGAAGGAAGCAAACGAAGGCCTGTACTACAGAGCCTAAAAGACAAGTTACAGCGAACTATGCGCTGTAAAACAGAAGGTTTCAGTGAACTCTGCACTGTAATGACAACTGTATTGCTTGTGAATTGCTTGCTTCAGTGAGTAGTACTCAGCTGAAGGAAGTAGATTACTGTTACGACCTTGTGCCTGTCGACATGTGGTCGGCAGGGTTGTTAGGTAGATAAAGTGGGGCAGAGAGGAGTAGCACAGAGGCAAGTCCTTACAGACAGGGTTCGCTGGTTAACGGTGGTCGTATATCACTATAAGCCAGAGCAACACTCCAAGTGTTAATACAGTAGGATATAATTAAAGTTAGTTTAATTAATAAGTGAATACTTATATGAGGAATAGAAGGTTCCTCCCACCATTATAAGTACAATGATAACTATCTATACTAACTAATAGTGATATAACTTATACCTTTAATTAACCTGCTTAACGTGCTTTACAGGTAAGTGTGTTAATCAGGTTAAACACTTAAGAAGGTGCTTAACATACTTAACACTTTAGGTTAATAATCACGTTAATCACCCAGTGCGGCTTATTACTTCTACTATGGTGGCATACAGTGGTGCCTACAGGGATACGTCGGTCCAAGCCGGCCACAAAAGCGGCCTACAGGTCGTCACACAATTCCCCCTCTTTATCGTTCTTTTCCTATAAAAAACTCCAGGGTAAGTTTCTCTTCTTACAACCTTCCGTCACTATACCTTCTGATAAGATAAGGAAAAACAGAAAACTTAATCCTCCTTCTTCCTATAAACGTCATCTTAACAGCACCGCTTTTATTAAAACGTTTAGAATTACTATACCCGTTAAGTGTACCCGTTACAAATCACTAGGTCTCAAGTGTAAGACCGCCAGTAAAAGCGAGGTTTACAGGTCTTACTTAGCTATTAAGGGGCGGGTGTACTCTTCTTATAACGTACACAGGTACGATTGTTCCGTTCTTTAGGGTATTTTAGAAGAGAAAAAGCAGCTGGACACTATAAAGCGTAACGTAATTACGTAGCTCGAAGCAGACCTGGCTTAACTCTAAAAGCTAAAGGCTTAATAACGGGAGCTTACCGATTACATTAATAAGGTCTTTAACTATAAGTTAAAGATTTTTTACAAGGAGAAATCGCAAACCTAACTGGTAAAGTCCACTTCTAATACTCCTGTTATCCTTTTATATAAGTCTTTTAATTAAGGGGTGTTTTTAAATGGTGATATGATTATAGGGTTACTGTAACTAGTGATAATTACTTCTTAAGGTTAGTTATTAATTCCCTCGGCTTTGGCTTAGTATTTAATAATTATTTAGATCTATTCTGGGGGAGGTAGGCTAATTACCGGGGTTAAGGGTTATAGTAATAAAGGTACGTTTTAATAATAAAATAATTCGTTAATATAATAATTAGCGCGCTTACTTTGTATTATCTTTTATAAATAAGTCAGATATGTTTATAAGGGTTATATAATAAGAGGTCGTAGGTTTGAATCCTATATAAGCTACTACCCTTAACTTACTGTTTCTCCTATCAGGTAAAACCGTAAGTTAAGCAGTTATTTTTACATAGCTAATAATGCTATTATAGTGCCTTTTGCGCTGTGGCCCTCAGGGTTTAATATCTTTTCACTGGTTATAATCGGTCTGGATTTTCGCGGTAGAACTTCTTAATTAGTTTAGGGTAAAAGAGATTATTAACTAGCTCCTAAAAGTTTAACTTGGGGCTGTAACCTAACTATTTAATAAGATAATAAAGTTTACTTTTACAATATTATGAATCTAGAATTCCTTTAACATTAAAGTCTTTTTTATCGACGTGTATTTTAATCTTTTTCTTAAGTGAAACATCCCTTAATATTAGCTTAAGAAAGGAAACGTGGAAAACCTTAGTTTAAACCTTTATAAAGGTGGGTAAGTTGAGTTTATAGTTAAAGGTAACGATTTTCCTTTTAATAAGAAATAATCCGAGTTTTTTAAAATCGAGTTTACAGCTTAGCCGTTAAATGTGTAAGTTTTAAGAAAAAAGGTAGATTAGGTCTCCCTCCTAGAGAGTTAATCCCTTAACTTTTTTATTATTATAGTAACCTTTTATTCGCTTACAGGTGAACTTAAATTCGGCCTTTAAGTGGTCGTGTAGCTCCTGGAGCTAGTCGGCTTAGATGGCGGCTTAAGGTGTATCTGTAGGTGGTCCTTGGCGGAGCTTTAGTTTTTAGTTAAATAGTGCGAAGAATAAAGAGATTTTAATTAATTTAATAATAGTTATATTATAGGTTATTTATGCTGTTAGTAACAGCTTAAGCTAGTTGTTTTATTTGAAGTTAATAAACGCTTAGAGGTACGTTTTAAGGGTTTGATTTAAGTGTTTTGTTTATCTGTTAATCTGGGGGTAAAAGGCTGTTAATAATTTGCTTTTTACACTTATTTATTACATTAGTCTTTACTAGAACTTTAAAATAAATAGCTTATTTTAATTAAAAATAATATTGTTAGGTTAAAGGTGTTAAAAGATAATATACTTTTTTAAACAATGTGACGGCGAGTCTGCCGCTGTTTTTGGTGGGTTCTGCCGCCCATTACGGCGGTCCATTCGCCAGAAATTCAGCATCGCCCCACGCCAAGCCGCCCCACTACACCACACGGCCAGGGCCAAACCCACGTGTATTCGGGCACGCCAGGTACCCCGTATATACCGCAGGTACCGATCCTTTATACCCTCGAACCGCCTCTAAATATCAAGGGTCCAAACCGGTTCCCAGATTTCTGTTTCTTACTTACCACCTTGCCGGATACTGGAGAGCCACCAAAATAGGTCCCAACCTAATGTTTAAAAAGCCACACCTGCACCTCTCTAGTAATACATTCCCTTTATCAAAAGGATTACGAGTTTATCGCCTACCAGCTTATCCTGCTCTGACGACCGACATTGTCTCCTTTCTCTGCCCTTTTACGCTTAACTTACCGACGATTGTTATTACATAAAGATGGCGCGTCATCGCCGCAGGCCTAACGACGATTATTTGGACGGTTCGAACTCGGACTCCCCAGATGACGTGTCCTTGTCGGATGAGGATAAGGTGTTCGATGTCGAGGTCGATGATGCCGGCTATGAGACGAGCCCGACAGATATTGATAACGAAGAAAGTAATGATACTGGTGACTTTGGTGACGATTGTGACGATTTTGATATAGAAGACCAGGTGTAGCTCTTTGACGGAAATCTACACCCTTGAGAGTATTACCTTAAGTAATTAAAAGAGTTTAATAAGGCCGTGTATGATGATAAAAATTACAGTAAAGGTAGTACTATACTTTTTAATAGAATAGAAGAGCTGTGGAATAAATAGGTGGCCTAAACAGTTATGCTTTAATTACTTGATTTATATTAATAAGTTATAACGTAGGTATTACGCGTAGTTTAAGTGCGACCTATAGGAATCCTTTAAATCCGTCTCTCTTAGGTCCCTTTATAACTTTTTCGACTGGCTGTTAGGTTAAAAGGCCGGTAAGAACGGTAAAAAGAAGCGGGGAACGAAGAAGAGCAGCTTATTAAGGACGTATTAAAAGGTGTTCCGATTTGTTTATAAAAGGGCCACTGATGCGAAGCTTAATGTAAAGCTGAACTGGAAAATACATAGGGTAGGGCTTTCTCTAACCTGTAACTAAGGTACCGGGCTAGGCTAACATTATACAGGTGCTTAAAAAGCTCGCTAAAAAGCATAGGTTAAGCGACTAGAAGTGTGAGAACAGGTGTATAATAGTTGACGACTTTAAGTAATAAGTTGAGATAACGCTGGGTATGACGGAGAAGTCCTTCTCTCTAGGAGAGCTCTAAATTCT